CTTAGGGGAGTGGAGCAGTTCATTTATCTGTAAGGAACTTACACTTGGAAATCAGCAGTTTGTCCTTGTGCCGTGTGTTATAAACATTCCTGTGTGTTTCTCCTACAGACTTGATAAAATGTCTCTATTTTCATCGTGGATCAAAGCTATTTTCATCATTGCCTTGGTATATCCTCTTTATTCTGGTGAGTCAATTTTCCATTCCTGGATGAAGCAATTCACATTTTAGAAAATGCAGGAACAGCTGCTATTATCCAGGAATGGAGGAGCTTGATGTGCTGAAATTCTAATACTTAAACTGGCAAAATGAATGGGTCCTGTTACCAAGTACCTCTTAAAAAATTGCATCAGTAGATTGCTTTTTCTCATTTCCCACCTTAGAAAGGAGGAGACAGAGAAGGGGGTTACAATGAGCAGTAGAACTTAGCTGTTCGTTCATTTTTGACTAAAGACATTTACCTCATTTTTTCCCCCTTTTCAGATTCTTTGGTTGCTAAGTACAGAGTAAAGTCAGGAGTAATGCTGTCTTCTAGATCTGGTATTCCTCAACAATCTGATTTGTTGTTTGCCAGCTCTGAGTCCGCTAAAGTCAAGGGTTTGTGTAAGGAGAGAATTCACTGACTCCTCTGCTGACAGCTTATCTATCTGAAAGCACAAGGTGGCCCATGAATTGCAAACTAAAGTAGCTGTGAGGTATTGGATAGATCCGTGATTCTCGAGCTAAGTACTAATTAATTGAGTACTAATTTTGTCATAGTAAGTGATTGCATACAACACATATTAAGTGGCATTAAGCAAGGCACTGTCTTCTCTGACTAGTATGTTTCATTTATAAAAAGAAAAAGAAAAACTATAGTATCTCCACAGGAGGTTTTCATAATCAGTAAACAATACATAAAGTTACTTTTCACAGAGTGAGATGAATTTCGAATTCTGTTTCCAAATTTGGAGTTATATATGGTGAACTTACTGTTTTGATACTGCCAAAAAGCTTTGCTTCCTTAGTTACAGGATTTTCACTAGGCAATTTACATAGTACTTTGCTGCTGAAAGATACAGGTACTTCCCACCAAAGACTGATTGTTTTCCCCTCTTCTTCCTCTTTTAAATTTTCCTTTTGTGTCTTGGCTGCAGAAACTGGTTTTGTACCTTCAGCAGACACACGTGAAAAGGTAAGTTTATACTGATTAATTTGGAAATTGAAAAAGGTAAACTTTAAATTTTTTTTAAGTTTTAACAGCAAATTTTATCAAATATACAACAGAATAATCCTTCAAAAAGTAAGAAAAAAAGTATTATTATACTAAGTTCTAGAAATGGAATCTTGCAGCCATATACAACCATTTGTCATTTCAGACAAGGTAAAAAATCCCATTATTCAAAAGTTTATTATTGGGCATAAACTTTGTTTTAGACAAGCATCCGAAAAGATTTGTTAAAGGGGGTTTAAAGTAGATTTGCTTATCCTAGCAAAACAAGAGGGTTTAAAAAAGCTAATTTCTTCATACACGAATAAAATATAATAGTTTTCATATACTCACAGACTGAAATATGGAGGTGAAGAGTACCACCTTCAGTTATAAACATCTAAATAGATACTGGTATCAAAAGACATTTAAAGAGCATGCCACATAAGAATACACACAATTATGTGTGCAATTACTGCCATCACTAAACAAATTCCATATATATGTCCATGGTTATAAACACACATACTCACATATATGAATACATACATATGTGGTGATAATCGGAAACTATCAGTTTATCTACTAGTGGAACTAATGAGACAGGGGAATTATAACCAATTCAGGGTTATGATTTCTTCTGAGATAATGGGGAAAATCTGACCCAGATATGAGGAGAAGTAGGGGCAGAGAGGCTAAATTATAAAAGAGCATTCAGCCATTTCTATAAAAAAATAACATTGGAGTTGTAAAAATATATCAATAATTTTTTCCTAAGCATTATGTAAGTACCTTGATGTTTATTTTTAAACCTCAATGTAGGGATACATTCCATTTTGATGCATAGCATACTGTATTAAGAACAAAGAACATTTTATTCCAAAAATTCATTATCTGAAAAATTTTGTTGTCTCTTTAATAGCCAAACTGTGATGTGTATGTGGATCAATTACATTATTGCACCAGAGAAATGGATCCAGTCTGTGCAACCAATGGCCAAACTTATTCCAACAGATGCGTTTTCTGCAGTGAAAAGCTGTAAGAACACAAGACTAAATACTGACTCTTCCAAAATAATGAAGAAACCACCACAAAATGAGAGGAACACCCATGCTTCCGATAGTCTAGACACAGTGTAAATGGGAAATAACTGTGCTCTCTCTGTAAAAGCCACAGAAAACACACCTGTACCTTTCCCTGAAGTTCTCGTTTCTAAAAGTACTTTTGATTTCACCTCTCAACATATCCCTCCAGGATATTCTGCAAAAGCAGGAATCAATTTAACTTAATTTAATTATTATGACTTACTAACGGCAGTCTGGTGACCAATAGAATGTAATTCAGAAGTCCAGACACTGAATGATAATCTCCACAGTGTAGCGCCGAGCTACAGGGAGCAGGACTGAGCAAGAAACCAGCCTGACTACAGAAATTTAAATCCCTCAGATTGAGCACTTCCTGCCAGGAAGAAACTCCTCTGATGGTCCACTTGGTCTCCTGAACTCCATGGCATTCAGGACACATCACCCCACCTCCCTTCCTGTCCCCTCCCCAGGAGGGAGCCTGCAGTCCCAGGCTCAGCCAGCCTGGCTACTTCCTACCTCATTTTCTCACATAGGTGTTTCCTCTCAGTTAATCCCCAAAGTGGCTTCTCTAACAGAGAGCAACTCAAACAATGGGAAATCCATCTTCTCTCTGGCCTGGGTGGGCTCCAAGGCTGAGTCAGGAGGAGTCGAGGAGCCCCTGGTCAGGAGGACCTGGGCAGGGTGGGGGGCTCCGAGGGGCCCTGCTGCTCCTGGAATGGAGCACAGCCTCTCCTCACTGCCTCACGTGCAGGTGCTCCTCCCCGAGAAGCACTCAGTGCAAGATCAGGTGATTTTCCTATTTTTACGATATAATTTATTTTTCTTCCTTTACAGCGAAAATAGTGGAAAATTCGATTTTAGTCATTATGGTGAGTGCTGACTGCCTCAGGCGCACACTTCTGTGGCTTTTATTGCAATCCTGTGCTGCTGTGGATTCTACAACCGATGAGTCCTCTCAGTCAGGCCTTGAATTCCTAGATGACCAGACAAAGTCCCCTAAGGTACACAAGATGGAGAACAGAATATTGAAGAATTTTTCCAACTCTAAGAACCTGCAGATAAGCGACTTATTTTCTATGTTCAATTATTCCATGACAGTTGAAAAACCATTGGTAACAGAAAATGTAATGCAATTTATAATCAGATATTTCAGTCAATAAAATGTTAAATAATATCATCTTTATTAAATACCTTTTCTTTCTTTGGTTGGTTAGTGGGCTGAAACACATGAATACTTCTGGTGACTATAATTAAATTCCCAAAGGTGAACAAACAATATATTACTTGGGTGTTTGCTCAAAGCATAGACACTTGGACTTCTCTTGTTTTATCCCTATTTATCATAATTATGTAAGATGGGTATATTTATGATAAGAAGACTGTGGATTATGAAGGTTGAACCTGAGTCCAGGTTACTCAGTGACAGATGGGATTTGTACTCCATCCTTCACCTGCCAGTGATCTTTCCACTGAGTCTGACTGAGGAGATGATTTAATTAGGGAGAAGCTAACAATGAATGAATCTCTGCCTTTGAAAAAGAGCCTCAAATATCTCCAAAGTGTCCCTCAAGCATCTCTGATGTAAAGCACAAATTTTTACCATGTCCCACGTAATGTAGTTGGAACCATGTAACTTAAGGCAATGTCCCATTCACTGCCAGATTTACTCCCCAGCTTTCACTCTCTCCTGTTCCAAAAAAATCAGATCTGGAGAGCTAATGCACAGGGTAGTGATTATAGTCAACAATTCTGTATTATGAACTTCAGTGTTCTTACTAACAGAAAAAAAGAATTAAGTGACATGACCAAGGTTTTAGGTAAGTACAGCATGGATGGTCTTAGCATTATGCTAAGTGAAATAGGTCAGAGAGAGAACGATAAATACTATAAGACATCACTTACCTGTGGAATCTAAAAAAAATGCAACAAACTAGTGAATATAACAGAAAAGAAACAGACTCACAGATGTAGAAAAGGAACTGCTGGTTACCAGTGGGGAGAGGGAAGGGGGAGGGGCAAGATGGAGGCGGAGGATTAGGAGGTACAAAGGATCAGGGGTAAAATGAGCTACAAGGATGTATTGTACCTAATGGGGAATACAGCCAGTATTTTATAATAACTATAAATAGAGTATAATCTTTAAAAATTGTGAATCACTATATTGTATATCCATAACATGTAGTATTGTATATCAACTATACTTCAACTTAAAAATGATATTATAAAATAAATACATAAATAGCTTTAAAAAATAATAAAAAATACAATGGTATCACTGCAATATATAAACTATCAAATCATCATGTTGTACACCTTAAATTTACTCTATGTTGCATGTCAGTGTATCTCAATTAGAAATATATATACTCGCATCCCATCCCCAAGACAAGCTTCTCCAAAACCTGGCTGCACAGGGGACTCCTCCGGGAGCTTTTACAAAGTCCCACTGCCCAGGCCTCCTCTACCTACCAGTTCACACTATTGATTGCAGGATACTGCGTTCATGCTCTAGAAAATTTCCCACGGAATTCTAATATGCCTGTAGTTTTTTTTTAATCTTTAGGGTGCAGGCCCTGAATTATCTGATTATCATTCCCAGACTCTTCTTTTTCCTGCTTGATTCTCTCTACCGTTTTGAACTCACTTGCTTGGAAAGCTTTCACCTGCCTTTTCCATTTCAGGATCTCTGACCCTTCTCCATACTTCTGGGTACATCAGATCAAGTTGTCCCCCAGGCCTCCTGCTGAGGGAAGATTAATTGACAATTACTTGCGAAGCATCTCTCATGACCTCCTTTACAGCTCCTAGGGAGGACACAGCATACCTCTGAGTCTTATCTGCCCTGCCCATCATGCTCACCCCAGTCAAACTCCTCACCAGCCAACCAATGAAACAGACTGAGCAGGAAGGAGATGGCTGAGGAGGGAAGGTGAACAAGACAGCCACTGTCTCAGAGCCACCACCACCACTCCCCAGTTTCTCCCTGTCAGGCAGGTCAGGTCACTTGTTGGGGTTCTAGGGTGGCAGTCCTGGTGTGTACCGTGGCCAGGAGGGCTGCTTTCCAGTTTGTTGACAGTTATTTTCCTGGACCTTCTTAAACATCTCTGGGGAAGCCTTCCAATAATGACTTAGGTTCTATTGAATTGTAGGGTTAGGGGAAGGAAAAAAGGTATAGTCCTCTAGGAGGTTGGAGCAATTCCTTTAGAAGGGAGGAAATTTTGAGAACCTGGCTCTGGTTTCTTTCCATCTAATGTGGTGTGTACCATTGTTACAAACACTCCTACAGGTATCTTCCACAGCCTGGAAAAAATGTCCCTCTTCTCACCATGGATCAAAGCTATTTTCATCATTGGCTTGGCATTTCCTTTTTTTACTCTGGCCAGTCAATTTCAGTCTTGGGCAAAATACCACATATCCTAGAGAATGAAGGAAGTAACTCCTGTTATTTTGAAAAAAGAGAAGGCTGTTTTATGAAGTTTGTAATCCTTAAGCTAGTAAACTGAAACAGTTCCAAATGCCTTTTTTAATAATTACATCAGTGGATTGCTTTTCCTCATTTCCCACATTCGAGAAGCTAAAACAGACTGGTGGGCAGAATGGGCAGTAGGTGTTAGGTCTTTGTTCATCTCTAACTCAAGAATTTTAACTAAATTCTTTTTCCCTTAGAGGCCCAGATTCCACAATTGTGAAATGCAAAATGTAAGGAGGGGTGATGTGTTCTAATTCTGGCAATGCTTGACCATCTAACTTGTTGTTTGCCAGCCCTGAATCTACTAAAGTCAAGGCTTTACCTAAGAAGTGGACTCATGAATCCCTCTGCTGACAACTTATCTGCCTTTGAAGCTCAAAGCTGTCCCTCAATTTCAGACTAAGGTAAGCTGTGAGGTGTTAGCTAGAACCCCAAAAGTAGGACAGAATGCTAATATATTTTTCTTATTTTAGTAAATACGTGCAAGACATTCTCTTCCCCAGTAGCAGGACGGCTCATTTAAAAATTTACACACAAAAAATTATATTGTCAAGCAGAGTATGAGGTTATTAAAAATAGCATATTACAGTTTTTTTTCAAATAAAACATTTTAAATAGTTGGCTCATTTTAGGTTGATTTTTTTTTTACTAATGCCACAAAAATCCTCTTATTAATTGCAATAAATAGGCAATTTACAAGAATTTCTACTGCAAACAGATGTGAGTACTTTTTCCATAAACTATGTTATTTTCTTATTTTTTAACTTTTTAATCTCTGCTTTGATTGTAGAAAATATCTTTATAAAATCATCGATTTACAAATATCCAGTAAGTTAATACTAATTGATTTGGAAGTAGAAAATGGTAAAATTTTAAACTCATTAAATTGAAAAATTTGACACAAAACTCACCAAAGAAAATGTACAACAGAATGAGTCTTCAGGTATGGTAGTATCAGAATTGTTAACCTGCACACTTTTGGGGAAAAAAAATAACTTTATCACTAGCGTACAATGCTTATGTGGAGTACTTTCTGCCTTTTCTCTTGGACTCCACTTATGACTAAAGTTACTTAGGTCAGCACCTCACTTCCCTACCCCCTTCCTTTAGGTTATTTCATATACATGTAGCACAGTTAGATCATTTTAGATTAATTTGTTACCATCTGCATTCTACCTAGGTATCCTCCAACCTCCCAAATAATGTTTTAGTTTACATACATCAGGATTTACTTTTTGTGCTGTAAAATTTTTCGATTTAGACAAATGTAGATTTCATAAATGCACCATTACAATACATTGCATAAAATTGCTTCAGTTGGCAGATGACATGACCTTTTATGTATAAAACCCTAAATATTCCACCAAAAATGTTTTAGAACAAATTCAGTAAATTTGCAGAATACAAAATCAACATAGAAAGTTAGTAGCATTTATATACAATATGAACTATTTGAAAGAGAAATTAAGAAAGCAGTCCCACTTACAATAGCATCAAGGCAATAAAATATTTAAATATAAATTTAACCAAGAAGGCAAAAGATATATACAATGAAGGCCATAAAAGTCTGATGAAAGAAACTGAAGAAGACACAAATAAATGGAAAGATATCCTGTGTTCACTGATCAGAAGAATTTATATTGTTAAACCACCCACACTACCCAAAGTCATCTATAGGTTCAGTGCAATCCCTACTAAAATTCCTATGGCACTTTGCACAGAAATAGAAAAAAAATCCTAAAATTTGTATGGAACCACAAAAGACCTCACAAAGCCAAAGCAATTTCAGAAAATATCAAAACTGAAGATCTCATACTTCCTGGTTTCAAACTATATTACAAAGCTATAGTGATCAAAATGGTATGGAACTACTATGAAAACAGAACCATACCCTAATGGAACAGAACAGAGAGCCTAGAAATAAACTCACATATACAATCATATATACAGTCAACTGATCTTCAACAAAAGGTAAAGGATAGTCTGTTCAATAAATGATGTTGGCAAAACTGGATAATCACAATGCAAAAAAATGAAATTGGGCCCTTATCTTACACCATGCACACAATAACGCAAATAGGTTAAAGACATAAATGTAAGATCTGAAAGCATGAAACTCATAGAAGAGAATATAGGGAATAAGCTCCTTAACACCACTCTTGGCAATGACTTCTTGTGTACGACACTAAATGCACAGACAACAAAAGCAAAAACCAAAAGCTGAACTACGTCAAACTAAAAAGGCTCTGCACAGCAAAAGAAAAAAGATAACTTACAGAATGGAAGAAGATATTTGCAAACCACATATCTGATAAGGGGGTTATGTGTATCCAAAATGTATAAGGAACACATACAATTCAATAGCCAAAAAGTCAAACACCTCAATTTAAAAAAAAAAAGCAAAAGAACTAACTGAATACTAGACGTTTTTCCAAGGAATACATACAAATAGCCGATAAGTATATGAAAAAGTGCCCAGCATCACTAATCATTAGGGAAATACAAATCAAAGCCATAATGAGGTATCACCTTTTTCCTTTTTAGTTGGCTATTTTCAAAAACACAAAAGTTATGAAGTGTTAGAGAGGATGTGAAGAAAAGGGAACCTTGCTCTCTGTTGGTGGGAATCTAAGTTGGCACAACCACTATGGAAAACAGTATGGAGGTTCTTCAAAAAACTAAAAAGAGAACCACCAAATGACCCAGCAATCCCATTTCTGAGTATATACCCAAAGGAAATAAAATCAGTACCTTCAAGAGATATCTGTGTTCCCACAGCCACTGCAGCATTCACAATAGCCAAGATATGGAAACAACCTAAGTGTCAGTTGATGGGTGAATGGGTAAATAAATTGTGAAATACATACATTTATATATATTATATACATACATAATTCAGCCTTAAATAGAAGGAGAGCCTGCCATTTGAAACAACATGGGTAAACTTGGAGTACATTATGCTAAGTGAAATAAGCCAGACACAGAAAGAAAAAACCCTGCATGATCTCACTAATATGTGGAATCTAAAAAAGTTGAATACATAGAAGCAGCGAGTAGAATGGTTGTTACTAGGGGTGGGGAAGTGAGGAAAATGGGAGGGCACATGATCAAAGGGCACAAAGTTACAGCTATGTTGGATGAATAAGTTTAGAGAGTTAATGTATGATTATGATTATATTTAATAATACTGAATACTAGAAATTTTCTAAAAGTAGATTTCAGGTGTACTCATCACATACAAAAAATGATAACTAGGTGAGGAGATGATACATTAATTAGCCTGACTGTAATAATCATTTTACTATGTAAATATGTACAGAAATCATCATATTGTACACTTTAAATATATGCATTTTATTATGAAAAGTAAATTAATAAAAAAGAAATTTCCTGGCAGTTAGTGGTTACTCAACTTTATAATCATGTTGTGTCTGCAAGTATGCACATTCTCTATTCAACACGCACTTCCCTTCCCATGAGAAAGAATTCAAGCATGACACTCCAACCTCTAGAAACATGGTTTACAAAGAATTGTCCTTGTTTCTAGCCCAGTACTTTTATCTCCTGGTTTTGTTATCAAACCCCTTTGGTCTCTCCTGTGGTATGACACTTATTAGAAGAATCCAATCACTTTTGAACATTTAGGAAATTTGGACTTAAATAATTCAGTTTTTAAACGTATGTGGCCTCTTAAAAAAAAAAACTGTACTAGTCACTCACCTAGGGGAGGGTCCAGTATTAATCTTAGCTGGTGTCTTTACATGCTTAAGTTAAGTAGCTCATCTCTATTATTGCCCAGAGTGGTGAGTTTCTTTGCCCCCCACTTAATGGTAATAATGACTTAGGAAAGATCAAGACTGCTCTAAGTTCCTAGACTTTGTCTTTTAAAATGTCTGCTTCTCAAATTCATAGTGTGTTCCTTCTTACCACCATCTCTGACATAATTTGAATAAGATATACATTTTTTTTTCTTCGTGAAGTTGTATTAAAAAAATCTACACACCTAACATTTCCTTTTCTGTTAAATTTAGAAGCCAATTGTGAGTCAGAGATTATCTCTCCTGCTCTTAATCTCTGTCAATAAATATATATAAGTGTATGGAATATATAAAGAGCTTTCACAAAAGCCCCACCTCTAGGCTTCAGTTTGTTTTTCCCTAAAATATCCTGCCCCAAAAGAAATGGTCTATTACAAGCATCTCTGATGATGTCTAAATCAATAATTCAAAGAGCATAACAGTCACTTTACTACTTGTGGGTCCTTTGGTTAAATTGGCCTGGAAAAGTATTCATCTTAAATTTTTTTTTTTAATGGAGTACTGGAGATTGAACCCAGGACCTCATGCATGCTAAGCATGCGCTCTACCACTGGGCTATAACTTAAATGTTTCTTTCTAAATACTGGGTTTCTTCACTGTGAAAAAGGAGCAGGTAGGATCAGAGTGACAAATGTTTGCCAACTACACAGTTTAAATGAGGACAGTTTAAGGATTTTACCTGTAACATTTAAGACAAGCAAAGGAGTTAGGAATTCTTACTCTCATATTTAAAATAAGAAAGTATATATTAGCAAGTCTAAATATTGAGTCAAAATTAGTAAAGGGCAGATAGAGTTTGGACCCTATCTCTCAACTGCCAAAGCTCTTTCCAATGATTCAGACTGTGAAGCAGATTAGTTAATAAGGAAGAAGGTAACTCTGATCAAATATCTCGCTTACTTGAAAAGCCTCCAGTGTCTTCAATTACCTAAGTTAAAGATAAAATTATTGAACATCAAATTTAGGTCATCGCTTCATCTGCTCTCAACTTAACTCCCCAGCTTCTATTTTTCTTCTACCCCAGAAAATTCACAGCCTGAGCTCTGGCCCAGGCTTGCCCAAAGCTGACTGGTCCTGACTGGTCTGGAAATTTCAAAACATACCACTGCCCAGGCCTCAACGACAAACACTTGTTCCACAGTCTTAGTGGTGAGACTCCTAAAGAGGTCTTAGCTAATGTCAAGTACTGGTTGTCAAATTGTACAATAACAGTCTTTCGCGATGTATGTAAACTATTAGGGGAAAGCGGTTAAAATGGACTGCTCTGTCTTACTTCTTACAATTGTAGATCTACAATTGTCTCAAAGTAAAAGAAAGAGAGGAAAGAAAGAAAGAAAGGAAAGAAAGAAAAAAAAGAAAGAAAGAAAAGGGAAAGAAAGAAAAGGGAAAGAAAGAAAAGAAAAGAAAGGAAAGGAAACAAAGAAAGAAAATAAAGAAAAAAATTGAAAAAGAAAAGAAAGTTTCAATTGAAGACCATTCATTTCTGGTATTGAAAGCTACCAAGGGTCTAGTACATATCTAATGACAGTTCACCAAACTCTTCTTTTCTTGCTTTAATTCTCTTGTTCCTTTCCAACTCAGTTGCTTGGAAAGCTTTCAACTATCTTCTCTATCTTAGAATCTCTATCTTCTCTATCTTAGAAAAATTTTTTTACCAGCTCTCTTCCCTAATTTTGGATTCATCAGATCAAGTTGTCCCCAAGCCTCCACCTGAGGGAAGATCTGTTGAGAAGTATTTGTGAAGCATCCCTCTGATCTACTTG